GCAGTTGAATTTCAAAATCAATGAATAGGTGTTTAAACAAAACGATAACGGAAAACGTATTTTATTTGTTGTGTATTTTACAGATAAGAAGTGAGTAGAATTATTTGAATAGACAATTTTTGTTGTAAGATATCATTATATAATACAAAATATTATTTATTTTAATTATTTAAAGTTTTTTGTAATATTATAATGGTCTTTCTGCATTAACCCTTGCTTGACACTATTTTTCTTTGATTTTTATAATAAAAAAATCCCTTCATTCAATAAAATAATCGACGACAATATTTTTGTCAAAATTCAAAAATCGAAGTCAATTTTTGTTATGGCATCAATTAGAAATAATTACAAATTTTTGTTTGAATTTTTAGTTCATTTTTATGCAAATTCGAGTCAAAATACTGAAATGATTTAATGTTCTCGGGCTTTAATTAAAAAGATATATATAATTTCCAATAAAAATATTGTTATTTTTAAAAAATGTTATCAGTTCTTGAACAGGATGTTTAAACAAATGTTTCAATTAGTACAAAGAATAAAAAATAGATTACCTTTCAAAAATAATTATTTGAATTTGTCAAATTTTGTAAATTAATTTCTAAAATTGACATATTTTTCAAGAGAATTATCACATTATTATCAAATATTTAAACTATTTTAAACAGCATTAAAGATAAGTCAATATGAACATTAAAACATATGTAAATTATATTTCAGAAATTATGTAAATGATAATTTAAAAAAAACAAGGCAAACTTTAGAATTTGTTTTATGATTCTAGAAAATTAATTAAACCCTTTTGTTCGAGGTGTAATTTTTAAAAAAATCTAATAGATTTTAGTGGCTTAGAGGGGAATAATGTTGTAAATAATTAATAGATTTAAAAAAATAAACAATTCAATGTTTAAAAAATTTTTTTGATAAAATTCTACACAGACATTTAATTATTTTCATCGATAATAAAAACTTCCCAGTAATTCAATTATTTACGAACTCTTTATAAATTACTTTGCATTAATTAAATTATTTTCATAAACAATAAAATATTTTATACAGGAATTAAATTATTTTCAAAAGTAATAAAATTCGTCGCAAAAATTCAATTACGTTCGAAAAATTTCTAAAAAGTATCATAAAAATTTCAATTATCTTTAAAAATAATAAAATTCTTCTCCGAATTTCAATTATTTTTAAAGATTTTAATAAAAATTCTTGACAAAGTTTCAATTATTTTCAAAAATTTTCCTGCGATTTCATTGTAAAATGTGTCATTAGTCAACTAACAGAATGACCCATTTCTCACATGTCAATGAAAAAAAAGTCATTATTATTGTTTTTTAGATAGAAATTATGGCTTCAAAACTTCTGAGTGATCAATAAATAATTCACAATGGCACTTTCAACTTATAAGTAACTATGGTACAAAAATGTCCATTGAGAATAATTTATTGTTTTTCCACGATTCACTAATATTATCTCCATTAAAAGTAAGACGCAAACCTCTTACCGAATTGCATTAAAATAAGCTAAAATTCGATAATAGAAATCACTTTTTTTTTAAAAGTGTAAAAAGGTTTCAAAAATAAAATATTGAAAACACAAATGAAAACAGTTAATGATAAATTTTTAATTTGAAAAAAACTTCTAAACAGTATATTTTAAATAAATAAGTAAATAAAATATTTATATAAAAATGTTGGCGTTTGGAAAAAATAACAATGTTTAATTTTAAATTTGAAAATTAAAATTTTTAAATAAAAAAATTGCTATTAAAAATCGCTATTTTTTAAAGAAGAGATTTAGTCCTCAAAGGGTTAATTTGAAAAAATTACAAATTTTAATGAAAGTTGTCTGTTTAAAAAATTTAATTTAAAAAAAAGTTAAAAACTAATCAAAGCTGGCAGTGTAAAGCTTACTTTTTTTAATATTCGGTAATTTATTTATGTATCACATAATTTTTTTATCTATTTACATGGGTCATCCCGGAAGCAATTTTTATTAAAATTTTTTTATGTTTGGAAACATTTTTTTCAAATCTATGAAAAATAAGAAAACTCGTATTTTTTCCTTTTTTTTAATAGATAAAAATTGTGAAAATTGTGATAATTATAAATTCAACTTTTTTCACAAGCCGATGACTATTGAAACACGTTTTTCTCTAATACTAATAGATAAGAAAAAATGTACTCTAAGAAATTTATTCCTTTCTTCTTAAAGTTTTTAAATATTAAATAAAAAATTACGTATCTGCAACGAAAGTATCTAAAAAATTAAAATTAATTCTAAACAGTGAGTTTTAAAAAGAAATTTCGAAAATCGATCACTTTGGTTTTGAGAACACTTTTTAGAATTAATTTTAATTTTTTAGATACTTTCTTTGACGATACGTAATTTTTTAGTGAATATCTAAAAACTTGAAGAAGAAACGAATAAATTTTATATATTACATTTTTTATCTCCTAGAAATATTAGAGAAAAACGTCTTTCAAAATTCTTCGGCTTCTAAAGAAGTTGAATTTAAAAAAATCACAACTTTCATAATTTGTATCCAATAGCAAAATAAAAAATACCTGTTTTCTTATTTTTCACATATAATTCGAAAGAAATTGTTCAAAAAAAAAAATTGTTTTCCAATAAAAATTTCTCCTTGAATGTGTGCGAAAAGAAGATGTTTTCCGATGAGTTTGTAAGTGGCTGCTTGAGCGAAGCGAGAGCAGCAACTTTCAAACTCATCGGAAAACATCTTCTTTTCGCCCTTGGTTCACAAAATATATTTTTTCTAATAGAAAAATCTATAAACAAAATGAAGTACAACATTGGCTTGTCAAAATAAAACATTGCCAATACTCAGAAACTCTTCCAGCTGATCTAAGGTTAAAATATTACCGTCTTTCTTAATTTTAACTTTTTTAATTAATCCGAAAAATCAACTGTTTACATTTTACCCCAAAATGACTCTAAATTCGTATCTGTGAATCTAGAGATTGTAATAATTGAACAATTATGGAGAAATTGGAAGCGTGTTTTTAATGACTTACATGTATACGTAAATGTAAACCTATATACTTACATAAATGCAGATAGTCACACGACAATGTGTGTCAATAAAGAAACCAACAATTTCAATTGAATAATCGTAACTCAATCGATTCCAATTCCGGGATTCAAAGCTGTTCCCGGTATACACCTTTATGTTTGCATCAAATACCATCTGTTCAGTTTACATGAATGTAACTTGCATAACTTTTCATATCTACTCCCTTATGTAATTGTTATCTCGCCTGTCGACTCATGTAATTTATTGCTGTCATTCATATCTCTTTTTAATCCTCGTTTCCTAAATCTCTATATTATATATATACATTGTGTGTATATGAACAAACATTATTGGAATATTTGTTTTCCGAAATGAAATTTTTTGGATTATTTTAAATGAAAAAATAATGTCAGAGTATGCAGATTTTATATTTTTTAGTCTTTCTAACTTCTCGATAGCTGCTTTTTTTTAATATCTTTTCAGTCTGGAAACTACTTTTTGGTACTTTTTATTTTTTTTTTACTACTTTACAGGTTTCGCACTCGTTAATTAATAAGAAATTAGAAATTGAAATTGTTGAAACAAAGTAATGAAACATAACTGATCAATTCTTTATTCACTTGTCGAACTTGTTTCAGTATAGTCCTTTTACTTGTAATCACTTTATATTACTTTGTCTTTAGTATAACAGGTTGAGAATTCTTGAGCTTATTCAACACAATCACTTAATTACTTAATTCTTCTTACTTGTAATTACTTTATATTAATTTGTCTGCAATTACAAATTGAGAAGCATCAAAAAGCTGAATAGTTGCTGTTGAAAAATTTGTTTCCTTAATTTTTGCAACAGTCCTTCTTTGGAATTTTGCTACACAATTATGTACTTGAATCCTCTTCCTTTTAGTTACATTTTGGTTTATCAAAATTCCAAAGAATGGATGATTAAAAATAGAATATTTGTTATTAATTTTTCAACAGTCATTCCTTAAGGAATTTGAAACTTATTCTTAATCTGTAATTATTTTTATGCATATTATGCATTACCATAGGTATAAATTATTGCATACTTTATATTGCTTTGTTCGCAATTATACGTTTGCAAACATGAAAATTCTAAAGAATTAATGTTGAATAATGTTAAGCAGTACTTTCTTTAAATTTCGGAACAAAGAATCTTTACATTCTTCACAATTTTGTATTTTATTTTGTATAAAAATTGACGAAAAAGTATTATAAATTGATTGCAGTCGCCAATTAAGAAGCATCAACATCCTAACAAACAATTATTGAAAAAGTTACAAAAGAAAAGTTGTATGTAGAATTGTTCAACATCCATTCTTAACAGAACTTTGATGCTTCATCCGTAAATGTGTGTAATTGAAAACAAAAGTAATTATAAAGTGATTAAAAAGTAACAGAGCAAAAAAGAAAAATAAACCCAAACATGTTTGATCTTTTCTACTTTCCCTTTATATTATACCAACCTACCAGAGAATTCTTCTCTCATCCCACAAAGTAATTCCACAAAACAAAAGAAGCATATTGTATAATCAACAATTAAAAATTCTTTACAGCATCAAACATCAAAGAGAGCACTATTCTTATGATTTATTTCCAAACAATACAAGTTAAGAAACATTTTTCCCTCCTCACCGGTATAGGTAAACAAGTGTCTAATCATATTAAGAAGGGTTGGAAAAAAAATCGAAGGCAGCAACAAAAAAATGAAGAATAATTTCTCCATGAATTTTATGATACTTATGTCAAGTGAAAGGATATGGAAAGATATATACTGAATTTGCAATCTCTCCTAACAGAAGAGAAAGAAAATAATCACTGCAGGTGAATAAGAAGAAGGGCAAATAAATAAAAAAAAAAAAAAAGAAGTAGTAATAGAAGAAGAAAAAGAAGCAGAGTACATATCGAACACACACAGATCACAGACAAAAACAAGAAACCTAACCTTACGCTGTTGTTGTTCTGTCTCCTTTTCAGGCGCGGTCACCAACTTCGTCCTTGTTCTGAATAAGGATCTTCACTGAAATAACTTTTGATGATAATGAAAACACAGTACGCGCACAAATTTTCATTAAACAATGATAATAATAATTTATTTGTTTAAAGGAATAATGCATGTACTGAGCCCCGATAACGGGACCCTTCTGCCATGTTAAAAGACACAAACTGCACAGATTAGCACGCGCACACTCATTTCAATTCGAACTCGACGACTTTTACCATCTCACATCTCTCTTTTCCCTTCAGCAGTTGCTCTGCTGTGCTTCTACTACTCCTACTCTATATATTCCCCCATACAAAATTCCCCTTACTTTCAGTGCTGAATTAAAGGCGAGGTAATTCTACTGACATCTACTGGTATCACACTCAAGTCGATGCTGTTATCATTTGCTGTGAATAGAGAAATTTTTCTAGAATTTCTCTACATTTGAAAATCAGTTCGGTAGTGTTGTATTATTAATTTATTATTGTTAAGAATACAATATTCTTTGATATTTGAACTACACTGATATTTCGGAGCATTCGGATACTTATAGGATATCCTTTAGACATGATGAGGATATCTGCTAATTTATGGAAATTTGAATACTTAATTATTAAGGATTATCCTTGATTTTCGGAGAACTCTCGATATGCATATAATATCATTGGTACATTATAGTCCCAATGGACTATAATGGTTATGATTCTTGGTAACTTTTACACTAAGAGAAAAATATGTTACAGGATCACATAAAGATTGCACGTGGTACTATTTTTAATGTTACAAATACGGACTGTCCAGCAGCTATAATCCAGATTATAATGAGTAACATAATCCCGATTGTAGTGGGTAACATAAGAATATTTTTGTAGCATCATTAATGGTAGCCAGTAGCATAATGATGGTACCGGATAACATCTACTTTTAACAGTCAAAAACAAAGTTGAAGTCCACAACGTTGATCAACGAGAAAAACTTATTTAATGCATTCATGCACTGTAAAAAAGGGAGTTAAATTTTAACTCCCCAGGGGATTCTATAAAAGTCGCACCCATTGGAGAGTTAATGCCAGGGGAGTTAAATAAAGAGAGTTAAAATTTAACACCCAAATGCTAACTCCCCATGGAAAAAATAACTCGCGCGGGTGTTGAATGAAGGGAGTTAGAAATTAACTCTCTTTTGGAGTTGATTTTTAACTCGAAAAATTTCACTCCCAACTCCCGAGTCCGTTAACTCCCTCAATTTTTTACAGTGTGTACTATTTTTAATTTAATATTTAATTGTACAATAATTATTAACAAAACATAAACATCAATCTTTTTATTCTAAATATTTTTGTGGCAATATTGCTGCGTAATCTTTAATTAATTTACTTAGTGAATAATTTTTTTCGTTGATCAACGTTGTGGACTTTAATTTGGTTCAAAATCTTACACTATAAAAATTTAGGGAGTTGACGGTCACTGGAGTTGGGAGTGAAATTTTTCGAGTTAAAAATCAACTCCAAAAGGGAGTTAATTATTAAATTAACTCCCTTTTGGAGTTGATTCTTATTTTTACTGCTTGTAAATTTTAACTCCCTTCATTCAACTCCCTTTGCTTTAACTCCCAAATGGGTGCGACTTTTATAAAATCCTCTGGGGGATTAAAATCCATGGAGAAGTTCCATGGAATTTCTAGGGGAATTGGAAGTAAATTCTAAAAACATTCTGAGTTCTTCCATGTTTGATTAAAAAAAAATTTGATTAAAAAAAACACCAAAATTGATAATTGTCTCCAAAAATTATTTCAAAAAAATTGTCAAGACCAACGTCGTTTTTCAAGACATAGATTTTTTCTGAATCGGAAATAATTTCTAAAAAAGTTCTGAGTACCACCGTATTTCGGAAAAAGCTCTTCCTTAATAAAAAAAAGCTCTAATTTAATGAAAAAAACCCAAATTTTAAAATCGGCTCTAAAAATTGTTAAAAAAAAATTTACATGACGAGCGTCGTTTTTCAAGATACAAATTTTTTCTAAATCAAAAATAAATTCTAAAAAAGGCCTGAGTACATCAGTGTTTTGGAAAAAGCTCTTTTTTAATCAAAAAAATCCAATTTAATTTTAAAAAAAGCTCAAATTTGATAATTTTTCAAGAAACAAATTCTGAATCGGAAATAAATTTTAAAAAAGTTCTGAGTACCTCTGTGTTTTGGAAAAAGCTCTTCTTTAATAAAAAAAGCTCCTAATTTGATATTCGACTCAAAACATTGTTAAAAAATATTGTCAAGACCAGCGTCTTGACAATTCATGCTATAATGCTTTTAATATTCAATTATTTTCTTAAATTTTAATTAAAATTAATTTTTAAATCAATTTTTATTAAAAAATTTTACGAGAATTTAATTTTTTAAATTCAAAAATAAATAATTTATTGAATAAATGATTTTTTTTCATGAAGAATTTCATCAACAAATTTTTAAATATTTAATTGAATTCTTTTGACAAATTTCAATTAAATTCTTAAGAATAATTACATTTTCTTTTAGGAATTCAATTAAAATATTGTATTAAAAATAATTAAACCTCTGCGATGAGTTTTATTATTTTTAAAAATAATTGAGTCCCTTAAAAGAATTTTAATTTTTATGAAAATAATTAAATTTTGCGTAGATTTTTATATAAATTTGTTTAAATAATTTTTTCTGAATTAGAAATAAATTCTATAAAAAAGTTCTGAGTACCTCCTTGTTCGGAAAAAGCTCTTCTTTAATAAAAAGAAAAGCTTCAATTTGATGAAAAAGAGACCAAATTTTATAATCGCCTCCAAAAATTATCTTAAATTTTAACTAAAATTAATTTTTACATCAATTTTTATTTGAAAATTATACGATAATTCAATTATTAATGTACAAAAATAAATAATTTATTGAATAAATAAGTTTTTGTTAAAAATTGAATTCTCAAAAAGAATTTTATCAACAAATTTTTAAATAATTGAATTCTTTCGTTGAATTTCAATAAAATTTTTTAAAATAATTACATTTTTTGAGAAATTCGTTTAAAATTGTATTAAAAATAATTGAAATTCTTCGATTTTATGAATTTTTTTTAATTAATTGAATTCTTTTGTGAAATTTGATGAAAATCATTGAATTGAGAAAAATTTTTGAAAATATTTAAAATTTTGCCAAGAATTTTATTACAATTTATAAAAATAATTGAATATTGGTAAAAAATTTTATAAAAGTAATTGAAATCTTTACAAGGATTTAAAAAAATTTACAAGAATAATTTAATTTCTGGAAAGAATTTTGTAACTTATATGAAAATAATTGAATTCTTGCGATGAATTTTACTAACAATTTTTTTTTAACGATTAAATTCTTTATGAAATTTTATTGAAACAGTAGATACTAAATATAACTGCATATCGACGAATTTTGGAAATTAATTAAATTTCTATGAAGAATTTTATTAAAAAATTTTTGAAAATAATTGTATTATTATGAGGAATTCCATTAAAATTTTTGAAAATAATTATTTAATTCTAATAAACAAATTATAAAAAAAAATTTTTAAATAATTGAATTTTTTTTTTAAGAATTTTAATAACATTTTTCAGAATAATTATGCATTTTTTGAGAAATTCATTAATAATTGTATTAAAATTAAAAATAATTGAAACCCTGCGATGAGTTTTTTTAGTTATGAAAATAATTGAATTTTTGCAACGAATTTTATTAAAAAAATTTAAAATAATTGAATCCCTGAAAATAATTGAATTATTGCGAAGAATATTTGCTGATTTTATTTTAAATAATTGAATTCTTTTAGTAAGTTTTATTAGAATAGTGGATATAAAAATAATTGAATTAAGAAAAATTTTAGAAAATAATTTAAATTTTGCCAAGAATATATTTTGCATAATATTTTTCAAAAGTTCATGTTTGATAATATATATTATATAAAGAGTATATTGTAATATATATAATTATAATATTTTATAATTTATAACAATTTATAATATATTTATAATTTACAAAAAAAAAAATTAAAAATACTTTTGCTGTGTGAATTTAGCAAAGATCGTTTGAAAAAATTGTAAAGTTGAAAATAGAATTATACACAGGAAAAGAAAACAAACTAATTATCCCTAAACAATTTTATAGAGTATTTCATTGGTACATACCATTCCGATCACAAGATTAAATAACTTAACAATATATATATAAACACAAATATTCAATTACACACTAACAGTGAAAAACTCTTATTTCCAGATGGACTTTTTAAGTATAACAAATTTACAAATACGAAATTTTTTTTCTTTTTACAAAAGTATATCTTTTTAATAATAAAGGGACTGTTTACTATTTCGTTTTGAGGTTCATTACAGAGATCTTATGAAAAATGCAATATAAAAATGATGGCGACAATTCGGTACTGAAAATGACAAATTTTTTCTTTTCTTCTTTTTTTGATTTTTTCAAATTATGTACGTATTTAATTAACTAGCCAATAAAATTATAATATAATAAAGAACAAATGTACCCTAACTTTAATATATGTAAAATATATATTTATATGTAATATACTTTTTATATTTATGATGTATGAATGAACTTAAAGTTCGGTTTTAACGAAATTTAAAACAAAAAAAAAAATAACAAAAAATATATTTAGAAAAAATGATAAAAAACGTAGAAAATTCTTTTTTGGAATTTTTTCGAAATTAATTCACAATTTTTTTTTTGTTTTTGTTTCCTCAAACGATGTAATGAAATTTTTTTTTCATAAATTGTGCATTTTTGTTTAAAATCACACATTTTTACATCGAGAAAGATAATAAAAACTTTCTTTAATTTCATTACTTTTTTTTACGATTTCCATGACTGAAACGTCTATGCTTGTGGTTGAATTTTCCACTGTGCGTCGATTTTTTTCCCTCAATGTGACCATTTGTAGAATCCTTCTTTGAATCTCTGGAAGCGTCATTCTCTGTGACCAAAAGAGAAATAAATTTTATCTTCAAAAAAATTTTTTTCTTGTTTCTCTGTATTTTTTTTATCCAATAACAAAATAAAAGTACGTTTTTTTTTGTATACAATTCGAAAAAAATTGTTGAAATAAAAATTGTTTAAAAAAATTTTTTTTTGCTGAAATGACCTAAATAATAAATAATTAAAAAATTGACAAGAAAAAAAAATGAAATTTTACCTGAGAAGATATGTTCTTCATTCGTCTTCAGAGCACCATTGCCTATGTCATTGGATTTTGTGTTACTTCCTTTGCTTTGGATTTCTGCGAGAAAAATAAATACTTTATTTCTAATATCAATAAATAAAAAATGATTTTTTTTAACAGAAAATAATTTTCTTTTTATACTAAAAAAAATTGTCTTCCTTTAATTTATAATCGAAAATATTAGTAGTGTGTGCTTTGACACGAGCTTTTCACATGGCGTCCAAAACAACATATTGCGCGCATTTTCACATAAAAAAGATAATTATTAATAATTAATTATATAATCAACAGTTAATCATATATGTAATTACTATATCGAGTAATTATTTCACGATAAGATTAATGGAAATAATTAAAGTACAAAAGAAACGGATTTGCTTTCATTCACTTATTGCACTATTTATCGCATGAACCATGAATAAACTTTGAGCTTCACTCGTTTCATATCATAATATTTCTCTTCTATATACATATACAATATTGCAGGGAAGAAATTATTGCAAATTATTTTCATTTACTTGTCAGGAATTTTTTTTTTTAGGAATTATTGATGAAAATTTGCAAAAAAATTTCTTTTTTCTGTATTTTAGATTTTTAACATTTAATTAATTAATTAATAATTAGATTATTAATTAATTAGATTTTTAACATATAATTAGTTAATAATTAATTAATTACTAATTAATAGAATAATTATCATACTATTAATAAATAATATGCAACATCATACTAATTATCATCATAATTATTATAATTAACAATAATTAGTACACCCAGAGAAAAATCTTATTTAAACCAAATATATTTTATTTGAGTTAAATTAACGTATATTTGTCTCAGAGCCTTATTTATTTTCTTCGGCATAAATAACATTTTATTTAAACCAAATAAAATTTTGTTTAATTCAAATAAAATTTTCGTTTAATTCAAATAAAATTTGTTTAAATCAAATAAAATTTATGTAAAACAAGTAAAAAGTCTAGCTGGCTCTGAGGCAAATATATCTTTTCTCTGGATGTAATTTAAGCTTAATTAAAGGTACTAATAGTTTTAATTAATTAAATTCATTAAATTAATTTTAATTAATTTTCCAATTAAATTAATCAAATACAAAAAACAGGAATGATTTAAGAGAATTTAATTAATTGACAATTTCTGTAATAACATATATAATAGACTTCTGGTAATTATTCAGAAAGTTTTGTTATCTAATTTTCTAATTAAATCAGTAATTTAAAATTATTTATCGGTTCTAGACACTTTGATTAATAATTGTAAGATAGGACCGAATTAATTTCAAATAATCGAGTTCAATATATGCATGACAATTTATGTCAAACAATGAATAGATCATGAAACTAAGGTAGATTCATATTATACCTACATCGTTTGTTTAGAAATATTTTTTATTTAACTTAGTAAACTGTTAATTTATTTATATTTTATATTTTGTTTATATTTTTAATTCATTTTTATAAAAGTGCGTAAAAATTCATTTAAACTTCCATTTGACACACCTGGATTAATATTAATTCTATTAATATATTTATTTAAATTTAATGAATACAAAATTTAAAAGTTTCATATTTATTTATTTTTTTAGATTTTAATTTTTAAATTTAATTTTATGGATTATTTATTTACATATTTAACAGACTCACAAAAAATTGAAAGAATGCTTTTTCGTAATAAAATTCTTCGCAAAAATGCATTTATGTTCAAAAATTTTTTTAAATTCTCATCAAAATTTCAATTATTTTTAGAAATAATTAAATAATTCTTCTCTGAAATTTAATTATTTTCAAAAATTTTTCTCAATGCAATGATTTTCAATATCTACTATTTTCATAAAATTGTCCAAAAGAATTCAATTATTTTTTAAAAAATTTAATAAAATTCTACACAAACTTTTAATTATTTTCAAAAAATAATAAAAATTTCACAGGAATTCCATTATTTACAAATTTTTTATAAATTTCTTCGCAATGATTCAATTATTTTCATAAATAATACAATTTTTACGAGGATTCAATTATTTTCGTAAATGATAAAATTCTTTTTAGGAATTCAATTATTTTCGTAAATAATAAAACTCATTGCAGAATTTTGAACTATAATTAATACAATTTTAATCGAATTCCTCGAAAAAACTCTTAAAAATTTTATTAAAATTCGTCAAAAGAATTCAATTATTTAAAAATTTATAGATAAAATTCTTTATGAGAAGTCAATTTTAAGAAATATGCAATTATTCAATAAATTGTTATTTTTGAATTTAAATAATTGAATTTTAAAAGCATTAGAGCGTAAACTTTTAGAAATCATTGAATTTTGAAAAAGTTTCAGATTAAAATCTTTCAAAATTTGAATTTTTCATATTTTTAACTAACAATTCGGTGGAATTAATTTTTTTTTTGAAAAACTTTAATTGCGGATTTTTTTAAAAAATTATTTAAAGTTATTTTTATTTTCTAATACCTATATATTTAATTGAAGAATTTATAAATAATTGAAATTTTGTAAAATTAAATTGTAAACAAAAAATTTTAAAATTCTTAAAGAAGTTTTTCAAAAATTATTAAAAACAATGGATTTATAGAAATTGTTTAGTTAAGAACACGAAAAAAAGAATTCAATTTTGTAAAAGTAACAAATTATTGCAAAAATTCAATTATTTTTAAGATTAATAATATTCTTCGCAAAAATTAAATATTGTTCAGAAATTTCAATTATTTTCACAAATAATAAAACTCATTGCAGAATTACAATTATTTTTAATACACTTTTAAATCAAATTTATCGAAAAATGTAATTATTTTTTAAAATTTTATTAAAATTCGTTGATAGAATTCAATTATTTGATCAAATTTGTTGATAACGATTCTTTATGGGAATTGAATTTTAAGAAACATTTAGTAAATTATTAATTTTTGTATTTAAATAATTGAATTCTATTCGAATTTTCTAATAAAAATTGATTTTTATTTCATAAAAATGAATTTCAGTTGAAATTTCAGATAATAATTGAATATTAAAAGCAATATAGCGTGAATTATTAAAAATAATTGAATTTTGAAGTTAATTTTTTTGAAAAAGTTTAATTGAATTTTTTTGATATTATTTGAAGTTTTTATTTTCTAATATTTATTTAATTGAAGAATTTACGAATAATTGAAATTTCGTAAAATTGAATATTGTAACACATGTATTTGAAAATTGTCAAAGAACTTTTTCGAAAATTATTAAAAATAATCGATTATTTTTAATAATTTTCTAAAGAAGAATTTTATTTAAAAATTCCTGTAAATAATGATTGAATTGTAAATGATTTTATCCATATTTTCAAATGCTTTCACTGCTTCAAGTCTTGTAGTACTAATTTAAAAAAATAAAATTTTATTTAAAAATTTAATTAAATTTATTTAAAATATTAAAATTGATTTAATAAAAAAAAAATAGATAAAATCCTATCAAGAGCATTGGAATCTTATTCATCAAAAATGATTTTCTCTTCAGTCTCCTTGAATAGAATATTATATAGTCTCGAAAAATGAAAATATTTTCTAGACAATCATTATATTTATATATTCATTAAATGAAGATGGAAAAAAAATCTTTTATTACAGTCTGTATAAAATAGCTCATGAAGGCATTGCACTTTATACTATAATGATTGTTTCTAGTGGTTTGCTAACGTTTTGTTTGAAAAATAAAATATTCGAGGTCAAAGATCATTTTGCGTATATTGTACGTATGTATATTTATATGTATATAAATTGTCAATCATTAGTGAAGAATAAATTTTATCGCAATTGTGTGCAATATGGCGCCTCATAAAATGAGTCTCTAAATCTGAACAAGTGCATATGCACTTATACTCATGTTTCAAAAGTTTTTTTTACATAAAACAGACAAGAGTTTATGCACCTATTTTTTTTTTTTACATGAAAGAATTTTTGCTTATTCAGACTTGGAGAGGACATAAATCAAAGACAATTATTTATGTGCTCGCGTGAAAGGACACTCACGTTTAATGGGGGAATTTGATCGTTCTGGTGAAACGCTTTTCGAGCTGATTGGAGAATAAAAGGCCAGATCGCCATCAGTTCCAAAATTCACTGGCGAATAATAATTTTCTTCTTCATCGTGGGCATCAACCCCATGATTGGCGCCTGAGTTTTCGGGCATTACCATCACATTTGTTTTCTGAGAAAATTTTTTCTATTATTTTAGTCTTAATTTTTTTTTTTTTTTTTTTTAAATGGCATATGTAACATTGCCTTTGAGGGGGATTTCAACTTTCAGTTGAAAATAGTTAGTAGGAAATCTTTATAGTTAGTAAAATCTTTACTAATGTAAATTAGTGGCTCGCCCTTTTTATAAATTTAGATTTAAAAAGGAAATAGTAATGACTAATTATTATTAGTTAAAGTTATATTTGAATTAAATTGAAACTAATAGAAGACTAAAATTTTTGTAAGTAATTCAATTAGTCAAATTTGACTACTTTTTTAGTTATTTAATAACTAATAATTAATAGTAATTATTACCTTCTACTAATAATTTATTACTTTCTACCAATAATTAGTTATTTTCTACTAAATCCCTAAATTTGAATTAGTAAAACAGTGACTAAATTTTTGCATTCGAGAATTAGGAAATTTGATTAACAAAAAGTAGTTTCTACTAATTTATTAGTAAAATTTACTAATTAGTTGATAAATAATTTTTAATAATTAGTATGCAACACTTTAATTTTAGTAAAATTTACTAATTACTTTTAAAAATTATATGCAATACTTATATTTTAAAATTTTACTAATAAATAGTAATTTGTACTAATTTATTAATAAAACTTTAAATTTTAAATTTACTAACTGAAAAGCAAAAAGTCAGTCACTAATTCAGATTAGTAAACATTTTTACTTATTCAAATTTAGAAAGAATAATTAGTTGCTTTCTATTAATAATTAGTTTCTTTGTACTAATAATTTGCTATTTTTTATTAATTGCTTAAGCAAAAGCCAAGCAGGATTAGTTCAGATTTAGAGAGTTAATCTATAAGAGTTGAAAGTCGTTTACTAATTTTTAGGAAATTCCTGTACTAATTTTCAATTAGTATACGACATTTCACTCTTTTTTTTTAAAGTGTAATGAATAAATATTTTAATTTACATAAAGTAATTATTAGTATTTTGTTGTTTTAACCACAACTGTTTTCTTTTCTAAATTTTATTTTATATTTTTTATTATTAATTTTTTTTTTGCTTATTTTATTTTATTTTTTACAACAATTATAATATTTTGCCTTTAAAATTATTATTAAAATAAATAAATTTATTTGCAAATTTTTAGTTGAATTTATCTTTTTTCTTTAGAAGCTAAAAATTAATTTAGTAAATTTTTTACAAAAGTTTTAGTGAAAAATGATTGAAATTAGTAAATTTATTTGCAAATTTTTTAGTAGAATTTGTCTAGTTTCATTAGAAGCGAAAAAATTATTTACCAAATAGTGAGAAAAATTAGTAAAAATTTCCATTAAGTTTTAGTAGAATTTGTCTTTTTTCTTTAGAAGCTAAAAATTAATTTAGTAAATTTTTACCGTAAAATGACTAAAATTAGTAGGTAATAATATCCATTAATTTTTAGTAGAATTTATCTATTTTCTTTAGAAGCTAAAAATTCATTTAGTAAATTTCTATTGAAAAATAATTAAAATTAGTAAATTTATTTGTAAATTTCTTAATTTAATTAACTAAAGTTTTATTGAAAAATGACTAGAATTAGCTAAAATTTTCATTAAATTTTAGTCGAGTTTCTCTATTTAAAAGAAAAAAAAATTAATTTAGTAAATTTTTACCGAAAAATGGCTGAAATTAGTTATAATATCCATTAATTTTTAGTAGAATTTATCTTTTTTTTTATAAGCTAAAAATTCATTTAGTAAATTTTTACTAAAAATTTATTACATTTTTTTTACAAATTTTTTTTTTGAATTTCTGTATTTTCTTAAAAAGCTTGAAATTTATTTACTAAATTGTTACTGAAGAAATGATTAAAATTAGTAAAAATTTCAATTAATTTTGAGTAGAATTTATCTATTTTCTTTATAGAAATTAATAATTCTTTTACAAAAGTTTTAGTGAAAAATGGTTAAAATTAGTAAATTTACTTGCAAATTTTTTAGTAGAATTTGTCTATTTTCATTAGAAGCGAAAAATTCATTTACTAAATTTTTACTGAAAAATGACTAAAATTAGTAAAAATTTCTATTACATTTTAGTAGAATTTTCTATTTTCTTTAGAAGCTAAAAATTCATTTAGTAAATTCCTACTGAAAAATAATTAAAATTAGTAAATTTATTTGTAAATTTCTTTATTTAATTTACTTGACAAATGACGAAAATTAGTTAAAATTTACATTAAGTTTTAGTAGAATTTTCTATTTTCTTTAGAAGCTAAAAATTCATTTAGTAAATTTTTACCGAAAAATGACTGAAATTAGTAAAAATTTTCATTAATTTTTAGTAACTTAGAATATTTTCAGGACATTCTTTCAGGACAGGTTAATTCTTAGTAGAATTTATCTATTTTTTTAGAAGCTAAAAATTCATTTAGTAAATTTTTGCTCAATAATGGACTAAAATTAGAAGAAATTTTTACTAATTTAAATTATTGAATGACTTTTTACTATCAGTGAATTCAAATTTAGAAAGTTCAGTATTATTTTAGAGTTTTCCATACTTTCTCTTGTCTTTCATTTATTTATTAATTTATTTAGTTAGGTAAATATTTATTAATTTCTTCATTAATTTATTTATTCATTTACGTATTCATTTACTTATTCATTTATTTATTCATTTATTTATTCATTTATTGATTCATTTGTTTATTCATTTATTAATTATTAATTATTAGTTATGAATTATTAATTTATTAATTTATTCACTATTTTTCTTTATTTTTAATTTTTGCATAAAATTCCTTTTTCCCAGACTAATGATTAATGAACTTGAATAGACAAAAAGAAAAATAGTCGTAAATTTTATTACCTCATCAGGAATTGCTACCTCTTTCTGTTTTGATTGTTCATCAGGAGTTTGAAGTTGAACGTGCTTCAAGTCTGTTTTTGCATCCGCCACAAGATCTTTTGCTTCACTTATAGAAATTTCATCCTCGAAACTTGTGTCTGTTACGTCACTTGACGATAATGCATCGGGCTGTAAGAGAAAAAAAATTACAAAACTATTCGTTTGGAAAAATAATTGCTCAATTATAAACTGCGTCTTTTTTCACTGACGTTCAAAAGAGAGGAGTAATTTTGAAAAGAAAAAAAAATGATTCACAAAACAACGATAGGAAAATTAAGTTTTTAGCGAAGTCTTAACAATAATTACGTTTGAGTCTCGTTCGGTAAACTTTGCACTATATATCATTTTCGCATTTTTTCCTCTTCACTAATTTCAGTCTACAATCTCTCATTTATATACAAATTTGTTTTTTCTTTAATAAATCTTATAAATTCTAATTAGTAATTTTGTAATCTATAACAAGTCGATAATATTAATTAGACGAATGTTAATAAAATTAATTAATAAAAATTAATATCAAAATACTTTTTATGCATTTTTTTTCTTTTTAATTTATTATTTTTGTGTTTGAAAAATAAAAATCTTTTTTCTCGTTTTTCAGTGAATAGAATTTAAAAAATATTTTTCTTGTATTTTTCAGAAATAGTTTTTTTTTTTATTTTCATACAGTTTTGAGACAAAAAAAGAATCAAAAGTGTTGCGAAGCTACATTTTGATTCGTTTTTTGTCTCAATTTGACACCTTTAGAAAATTGCAATAAAAAATTATTCAAAAAGTAATTTTTTTTATTTTTAATCTTCTTTTATTATAAATAATAATTACATGTAAAAATTGAATCATCTGTGTGAATTTAGTGAATAAAATATTAATAATATGATTATTTGAGGCGTCAAATGATTCATTAGCTCATAACAACTATTTTTTTTTAATGGACTAAAAATACAAGTGAAGCAGACTGCGTATCAAAGAGTAAGCAGGCTATCTGTCCAAGAAGGGTCAAGTCTCAAGGTTTTCTTGTTATAAGTTTACGAGTTGCATATTATTAAATATGCAAGACCTTAAAATCCATGAGGCTTGCGCTCATCACGAGTTTATATTCAATAACAAATATTTAAATGATCTTGATTTTATTCATACTCTTCTCTTTAAATTAATTTCTTTCAATTGGAAGAGTAATTACAATTCTCGATTTTATGTTGTTAAAGAGGTAAAAATAGTTAATAAATAAGAAAAAAAATAGCAAATAATTATTTTCAAGTTTATGTAAATAGTAAATAAAAAAATACATTGAGCATTCCAGGTGAAAATTTCATTGAAAAATTTTTTTGGTCAGAAACAAAAAATAAAAAAAAAATAAAAAAAGACGTATTTTTCATTTTTTTATTCGATGAAAATTGGGGAAGTAGGGATTCTTTTAAATTCAACTTCTTCAGGAGCCGAGGATTTTTGAAGTACGGTTTTCTCTAATACTTTTAGGAAATAAAAAAAATTTACTACTTGAATTTTATTCGTTTTTTCCTAAAATGTTTAGATATTCAAAAAAATTCCTTTTTTTTAAATAATTGTATCAAATTGCATAAAAAATTGCGAAAGTATCTAAAAAATTCCAATTAATTCGAAAATGTGACTTTTCTGCTTTTCGGCTTCCGAAGAAGTTAAATTTAAAAAAATCATAACTTTCACAATTTTTATTAAATAACAAAATAAAAAATACTTCTTTTTTATTTTTCGTATACAATTCGAAAAAAATTGTTTAAAAAAAAATTTTTTTTTTTAAAAAATTTTCTCATGGAATGCTCCATAAAAAAATTTTTGAAAAAAGCGAAAAATAAATTCAAAACTCACATTGAAATCTGGATCGTCGATGCTTTTTTCAAAAGCCAAACGCTCAATTTGAGATGTGAGTGTCTCTTCCTCGGATTCACTGCCATCATCATCGTCAGTCGAAGAAAGTTCAACTTCCAAATATTTGCGTTTTGAATTGGGACTGTTGGCCGAGTCAGTTGTGTCCTCTTCAACTGGTACTGGTACCTGAAAGAAAAGAAATTCTTAAAAAAAATGCATTTAAATTCAAAATTATTTCACACTGCCAAATAATTGCGAAAATTATTTCAAGTGACATTTAATAGATAATAATTAATTAAAAAATTATTTCACACTTATTGAATTTTGAAAATAGTTATTTTTTAATTATTATTTTCTATTATTATTATTATAAAATTGTTTTTAAATTTTCTTAGAAAATAATTTTTGCAATAAACATATTTTAAATAAATAATTCAAAATTATTTCATACCATTTTATTTTCATCTATTTGGAAAATAGATTTTTTGAATTATTATCAATTATTATTTAAAATTTATCATTTTCAAATTTTCTTACAAAATAATTGTTGCAATAAATAATTCAAAATTATTTCATACTTAGTTAATTTAGAAAATTGTTATTTTAGTATTTACTATTATTTACTACTAAAAATGTGTTATTTTAAAATTTTTTTTTAGAAATAGTTTTTTCAGTAAATAAATCAAAATTATTTCACATTTGATAAATTTTGAAAATAGTTGTTTTATAATTATTATTATTTATTACTAAAAATGTATTATTTTGATATTTTCTTAGGAAATAATAATGCAATAAATAATACAAAATTATTTCATCCTCAATTAATTTTGAAAATAGTTATTTTAGTATTTATTATTATTTACTACTAAAAATATATTATTTTTCAATTTTTTGAAAGAAACAGTTTTTTCAGTAAATAATTCAAAATTGCTTCGAAAATTATTATTGAATATAATTATTTTAGTATATTAATAATTATTCTTTATTATTATAAATTTATTATTTCGAAATTTTCTTAGGAAATAATTGTTTGTAATAAATAATGCAAAATTATTTTACATTTCATTGATAAATATTGGAATTTTCCTTGAAAATTATTAATTTCAAATAAATTTTATTCAAAACTATTTTTCACTGTGTTTTGGTGAATTAGAAAATTGAAAATAATTATATTTACTTTTATATTTACAATTTTTTCAAAATTCTTGAAAAATTGTGTTAAAGTTTCTAAAAAATTATTATTGCGAAAGTAATGACTTTAGAAATAATAATTTTTTTAGTTACATTTTTTGTAATTTTAGTTTAAATTCTTATAATAATCTAATAAAAAATTTCAATAAAAACGAAGCAAATAATCTAATAATTGTAATTTAAAACCAAAAAAATTTAATTGAGTTTAAATTCTAATAATAATCTAATAAAAAATTTTAATAAAAAACGAAAGCAAATAATCTGATAATTGTAATTTCAAACCAAAGAATTAACTAATTAAGAAAGTTGTGAATGAAAAGAATATATTTGAATATTGTCACACATTTATAATGAAAGCTTCGTTATCATTAATTACGAATTTATAATTATAATATTCTCTTCAGACTAACTGGTAGACTTGGCTTATTCAAATATCCTTATCAAAGTCTGACCCATCTCTATTTTTATCAGAAACTACAAGATAGATTTTTTTTTCTGATAAAATATATTTTCCAATTTTCACATGTCGGGAATAATAATTTCTATTTATCTAATGGAATTTTTATTAGACATTAAAAATGACAACTACATAAAAGACACTTAAAGACAAAACAATATAATAGACAAAACTACACGTTGATAAAGTTCACAACGTTCTCAACGATCCAAAAAAAAGAAAAAATATTTTTCCTGGCAAAAATAATAAAAATGTTTTTTACAAATATTTTTTTTTGTAAATTATATTGATCTTTATACAAAAATTTATTTAATTGATTTATCAAATTGATATGATGTAAATAAATTGAAAACTTGATAAAATTTCTTCTAAATCGTTGATTTTATAAACGGTGTGAACTTCACTAACATTAAACTACAAATTAAAACAACTATGTGTAGAAAAAGGAATTATAAAGGAATACAGAGGATAAAAATCGTTTTCTATTTAAATCAACTTATCTCCTCCCATCCCATTGCTTTTTTGGAATTAATCCAAAATTTCTGTGTAATCGTCAATGATCCGTGAAAATCTAGAAAAGTCCAGTCATTCTTCTCGGAAGAGTTGTTTGATTTCGATATTCCTAAAATGAACTGTTTGGGTTTCAAGAAAGAGTAAAAATATGTCCCATGTTTGAAGGATTGCCGAAAAATTTTCAAAAAATTCGCTGAAAATTTTTCGAAAATTCGTCTATAATATATTTTTGATAGTGTTAGCAGAATAATTTTCTCTCGTGGGTAAATTGAAATCTGGAAAACTCCAATTAAAGTTTTCATTCGAAAATTTTGTTTTCAAGAACAATTTTTTTAAAATTGTACACGAAAAATTAAAAAATACGTTTTTCTCACTGGAAAAATTACAATTTATTTTGTATAGAAATAATAATTTTTATCCAATGAAAAAATCGAAAAGTTGCTATTTTTTAAAATTCAACTTCTTCACTCTAAAAATAAATTTGATACACAAAAAAATATTTCTATTATACATTTATTTCTGAATACTTTTATTGTAAAACTATTCGGAAGATTAATAGTTTTTTAAAATAAATACTTAATTATTATTATTATTTTCCCACACAAATTAATATTTCAATATTTAATTTCAATTATTTTCTAGAATTTTCAACTAAAATTCTTCTCTAATTCGATTACTTTTAATAATTTTTAAGAGAGTTCCTTAAGAATTCAATTATATCTTTAAAGAAAAAAAATTTACTGAAAATATTTCTGAAATACAATTATTTACAATTCAATTTCACGAATTTTGAATAATTTCAATTTTTAGAAAATTCATAACACTTTTGTTCTATAATTAGTTCAAATTTTTACTAATTAAAATTTAGAGAATAAGTTTTGTGAGAATATTATTGTAAATAAATTTAGAAATTAATTTATTTTCTAGAATTGTGCGTTAATATTTAAATTCTTTTTTGTTTTAAAAGTTAATAATTTTTATAGTTTTTTATATTACTTTTTGTAATTTTTGTAAATTTTTATCATTTTTAATCTGAAAGAATTTAATTCTTGCTTAGAATTTTATTAATTTATTAATTTATTTTCCACATAATTTTGCGTTAAGGGCATTTGAATCATTATGACGTCACAGTTTGTACAAAACATTAGTTTTTAAACTATGACGTCATATTAGTTCAAATATCCTTAATATTTGAAATTTTTTTCTATTTTGAAAGTTAATAATTTTTATAGTTTTTTATTATTAATTTTTATATTATTTTTTGTAATTTTTGTAAATTTTTATAATTTTTAATCTGAAAGAATTAAATTTTTGCTTAAAATTTTCGAAAATAATTTAATTGTTTAATTCTGTTTTTCAGAATTTTATATAAATTTTGTCAAAACAATTAAATTCTTTCGAGAAATTCAATTGAAATTGCATTGAGAATAATTGAATTCTAATAATTGAATATAAAGAATTTTTAAAATAATTTAATTTTTCGAGAAATTTTTTAAAAATTGTATTGCAAATAATTGAATCTTGTGCGTAGAATTTTATAATTTTTTTTCTATTTTGAAAGTTAATAATTTTTATAGTTTTTTATTATTAATTTTTAGATTACTTTTTGTAATTTTTGTAATTTCTTATAATTTTTAATCTGAAAGAATTTAATTTTTGCATAGAAAAATTTTGCATTCAAATTTTCGAAAATAATTTAATTGTTTAATTCTTTTTTGCTGAATTTTATGGAAATTTTGTGAAAATAATTAAATTCTTTCGAAAAATTCAATTAAAAATGCATTAATAATAATTAAATTCTTATATAGAATTTTCTAAAAAAGTTGTACAATAATTGAATTTTTTCGAGAAAATTTATAAAAAAACTTTTAAAATAATTGAATTCTTTCAAGAAATTTTATTAAAATTGATTTGAAAATAATTGAATCTCGTGCAAAGAATTTTATTAAATTTTTTAAAAATACAAATTGAATTCTTTTGAGAAATTTCATTGAAAGTTTAAAAAATAATTGAATCTCGTGCGAAGAATTTTATTAAATTTTTTTGAAAATAATTGAATTGTTTTAAAGAAATTTATTAAACTTCCATTTTTTTGAAATTTTTAATTTGAAATTATTCAAAAATTAAATTTGATAAAATTTATTTTCCCTGAATTTTCTGATTTCCCTGACCAGTGAAAAAAATGATTTGCAAAAAATTTCGGAAAATTTTTCGGAATTAATTTTTTTTGTAAATTTTCCGGCAATCCTTCCACATGGGGATGGAATGAAAAGAATGAAGAAATGTTTTTATGAAAAAAGCGGGATTTTAGAGAGAGACTCACCAGATCGAAATTGTTGGAGACCTGGATTCTTGTGGGAGGCGGCGATGGTGAATTATTCCTATAGCCATCGAGACATGAGAGAGTGGACAGTGTCAACTGGATCGACTTTATTAGACTCTTCCTGGCATCGTTCTTTGCCACCACCTTGTCCTATACACCCATCACCACGATTTATCGAGCTTTTTGTTTTTTGATTGTTTCGGAAACATTCAAGGACTTAAAGATTCCTGGTTGATTCGACGTCGCATGCGAGATTGTCGTTAGTTTTTTTTATTATTTTTTAATTCGAAACAAAATTTTTCTAATTACACGAAATTCAAATTTTTGCATGCTCGCATTTTTATTTTTTTTTCTTTTTTGTTTTTTTTTTTATTCTATCTTACCTGGTCTGTTAATTCTTTACGGGCGCGCATACTTTTGAAGCCATTGTTCTTTATTGTCCTTAGTTGTCTTCTGCGTTTTTGAATGAATTTTACCTTGAAAGAATAATTTTTTATTTTATTTTTTTTATTTATATATTGTTATTTATTTACGAATTTGGATTTTTTTCTAGAATTTGTGTTGAAGATTTTAAAAATAATTAAATAGTTTTTGTCTTTTTTTTATTTGTTTCAACTTTGGAAAATTGGACAATTTTTCAGTGTCAATAATTTTTAAATTCGTTACGACAATAAATTTTAAATTCGTTACGACAATAAATTTTAAAAGTAATTTAATAGTTTTTTTTTTGTTCTAATTGTTATAACTTTGGGAGAGTAAAAGTATTCTTTCGGTGCACAATTTTTGGTTTTTTTGTCAAATTTATTTTGCGAATTTGAAAGTAATTTAATACTTTTGATTTGTTGACAATTTTCTTGTTACTTTTATAAAATTAAATATTATTTTGCTGCAGAATTTTTGTCTTTTTTGTAAAATTATTTGTTTCAGTAATTTAACAATTTTTTAATTTTAAATTAAATTCAAAAATTTTTTTGAGTAATTTTATCACATTTAATTTCATATTTCTTTAATTAAATATAATTAATATCAAAAATTGTATGTAATTTAATAGTTTTTCTTTTTATTTGTTACAACTTTGAAAAATCAAATATTTGAAATTTTTTTGCAAAATTTCACTACAGTTAATTTGGTATAAAATTAATATTAGATTGTAATGAATTTGGAATAGATTTTGTCTTTTATTTATTCATTGACAGATTTGTTGTAAATTTGTGAAAATTAAATTTCTTTTCAACTAAAAATTAACGGCTTTTTTGTCAAATTTTTTTCAGTAATAATTTCAAAACTAATTTAAATTGAATTAAAATTAAAATTTAATCGTCATTTAATTTTATTTATCATTGAATCAATTTAATAGATTTTTTTTTATTTGTTTAAAAAAACAGATTTTTGTAAATTTTTGGAATTTGTGTATTTTTTTCGATCAAAATTTTTAAAAATATATTCAGATCATAGAAATAGAATAAAAAATACAGAAAATATAAAAATAAATGTAGAAAAAAAAGAAATATTTAAAAAACAAAAAATTTTGCATAAAAAACATAATTTCTTACTATTCCACTGGGTTGAATTTGTGGATATCCGCAGATAAAAGCTCCTACGTTGAGTGCGATTCTCACTGCTCGTAATAAAATTAGTCCAGGTAGGAAGAGGATCCATGGAAGTGGCCTCACAAGTTCTACTTCACCGAATGTTTTTCCATTTTCATCTGAAGAAAGAATTTAATTAAATTTAAACAATTTATTAATTAAATTTAATAATATTTATATTATTATTTATTTTTACTCTAATATTATTATTTATTTTTATTATAACATTATTATTAATATTATTTGTTATTTTTATTACAATATTATTATTATATTAATATTATTATTTACTAAACTCAATAAACAATATAAATCGATTTATTCCTTTAAACTAAAAGTATTATTCAATTTTTGAAAAAATTTAAAGAAATTTTTCATTTAAAAAAAATGTATTAAATTTTTTTAAATTTCCTGAAAATTATTAACAATTGTAATAAATAATTGTAAATTATTTTACATAGAAAATAGAAAATAATTATTGAAAGAATTTAATGACTTGTTTAATTAAAATAAAATTTATTACATTTTTTAATTTATTAGTAATTGTTAATAAACTATTAACATTTATAATTTGTAATTATAAATTATTATAAGTATAAATAATAGTAAAATAGAAATAATAGTAAAAAAAATAATTAATAATAGTAAAATAGAAAAATAATAATCATAAAATATTATTAATTATTTATAGTGTATAACAATAATAATATACAAACTTAATAATAAAAATTAAATTAATTTTTCTTTTTGAATAATAATAAAAATGCAATGAAATTAATGAAAAAGTTGATTAAACCTGACGAGGGTTCTTGAACGGGAAGACTCCACTGTGCTGATTTTTCAACCACCCACAAGACACGATCTACTAATTTTAAAGCTGTTTGTCCAAGAGGTATTTTCGCAAATGACTCCATACTAGAAATTATTAAATTTCCCGTGCATTCGGTAATTTCGCGACAATTTCTGCACAAAAAGAATTTTTTTATTTTCAAAAATTAGAAATTTAAACAGAAAATCTCAAATTTCATTAGATTTTTTTTTTTAATTTATTTTTTTATTGTAAATTATTATTTTGTTGAAATCATAATTACAATTACAATCACAATTAAAATTGAAATTACAAATTATTAAAAAATAATAGAAAAATCCAAAAAAAAGACAATAAAATGATTTTAAACAGAAGAGAATAAAATTAAGTAAATATTAAATCTCGGTTTAGAAAGAAAAGAATAAAATGATGTAAGTTTAATCGAAATTTAATGCACGATTTTTTTAGATGAAAATATATTTTTTTTTGTAAAAATAACAATTATATTGTATTTGATATCGAAATATTAAAATAGTAAAAAAAGAAAATCAAAATCAACTTGTAAAATATATTTGTAAATTCATTATTTTATTTCAAAATTTCAAATATCAGTATACAAAACAAAATTTTGAAAATTGAGGAAAAATTTTCAACACCTTGCTAAATTAAATTTCTGTTTATAAAGAAATAGTGAGTCAGTGATAAATAAACAATAAGTAAAGGGGCGTCGATAATGAGTATCTCGAAGGCACGACCTCGTCATATCACCGTAATACAAGTCCCATAACAACTCTCTTTAAAAAATTTTATACCAAATTTGCAAAGAAATTAATAATTTCTATAATTAAATTTTTACATCTTCTCGATTAATTTCGATCCAAATCGACCCCAATGATAATTCTCCAGGAGAAAAAAATTCTATTATTAATTAATTTTCGAATTATTAAATTTGAAATTCAAATCTCTATACGAATAGAATTATGTGTTTTTTGCACTTATTTTCGTCAAGAATTTTTTTTTTTACAAAATTAATATTCTGCTAATTTTTTTATTCTCATTTCTTTGTTAATTATTTTGCTCTGTCAATTTCTTATCATTATTGAGATGTTTACTGGTGGTTGTTATCGTATTTCTCCTTTACCCGTAGACTTAATAAAATATTTTTTTTTTGTAATGGAGAAAAGCCGGAACTTAAAATGTTGATCTCTAGAATTCAAATTCAAACTGATTTTTTCCTTTGGTAAAACATTCGAAACACTTTTGTTAATTCAATTGAATTTTCAAAATTTGTACCACTCACCAAAAATTGGAAATTGAGATAAAATTTTTCTATTTTTACAAATCGAGCAATATTTTTGAGTTTTCGTAAAACGTATTGCAAAAATAAAAAAATTTTCTATTTTCGATTCACGGATTTACTCAATTACTCAAAAAAAAAGTGTAAAAATCGAAAAATTTTGTCAAATTCTTTGTTGAATACAAATTATCATTATAACAATATTTTGAATTATTCTCGCGCCTATTTCTGAACCCAAAGGTTAAACGAAGATCAATTCATATGTTTACAGATTCACCAAGAAAAGTCAATTTTCACTTTTCAATTCACAAATTTACGTTAATAAAATTCTAATGAAACTTTTACAAACTGAGAAATTCAGAAATTTACAAATTTTCATATTTACAAAATTATAAATTTTACAAATTTACAAATTACCTCAATTAAACCAAATTCCGCATTTGGGGAAAAATCAACAATTTTGTACAATTAAATTAATCCAGTATTTAAAAAATTAACTTTTTTGAAATTACTCAAAATTTTGAATCTATTTTTCAAATTTGGAAAAAATCAGGAATAATTAATTTTTATTCAATTTTTCATAGATGAAATTAAGAAAAATATTTTTCTTTTATTTGATTTTTCCTTAATTAAGAACAATTAAGTTTGAAATTTGAAAATTTACCGAATTTGTGAAAATTCAATTTTTGAAAAATATTACTCACAATTTTTAGATACTTTTCAATAATTAATTTCTTGAGTTCTCGAACAAATACTGACACTTGAAATGCGAAAGCAATTACAGACAATCCATCAAGTCGCCCGACGACGTTAAACTGAAAGTAAAGCTTTTTACACTTTGAAGAGATCAGGGACGTCACTTAATCGTTTCGTTACCCGCAAATTTTTCTTTTTTCAAAAATACCGAAATTACCCGCAGAAAATGAAAAAATAATTCTATTTAAATTTTAAATAGTACAAAGAAAAATTTCCACATTTTTACAATATTTTTCTCACAAAAGTGAAATATACTTCTAATTACAAAAACGAATTTTTAACAAATTTTTTTCACATTTTGTCCCCAATTTCCGAAAAATTCATTTTTCAGAAATTCACAAATTCACAAATTGGGAAATTTAATTAATTTTATTACATTTTTTAGATAAATAATTATTTTCGGTTCTTTGGATATTTTTTAAGGCGCTTGAAAATAGGATCAATTCACTTTTTTTTTTTACTTTCATTGTGACTTTATTCAATGTTGAATTAGATACATCGTCAATTAAAAACTTGAATTATTCTATCGCGCTCGCTTTCATCGCACAAAGGTCACAATATCGACCTTGTTACACTGGCCCAATAAAAAAACTATTCTAAATATATATATATGAAAATTTTTTGTTCGTACGAAGAAAATGTTTTTTTTTACTAAAAAAATATAAATAATTATATGAAGAGAAGAAAAAAAAGTTACTTGACCAGCGTAACTGCGTCAATCGCAATATTGAAAGCTAAAACGCTTCTCATTTTACTTTATATAAAGATAATGTGATTCTCGGTGCAAAACAAATTTTATAGTCGAATCAGTTGACGAAGACATCCAAATGCAAATCCATTTTCTAATTACAACAAAGAATTAAATTTTTTATCCCCATTTTTTTTCTTTCTCCCCCAGGATTATGTTTTTTCTTCCCTTATATTTTTGTATTAATATTACATTTTTCGTTTAAATGTCTATAATTATTAAACTTTTCACAGAATATTTTCATCAACAGTTTGAAATTCTTTTTCAATAATCTCAAGTTTATCCATAAGGTCACTTCCACTCCAAACCATTGATCTTGAGAACGCGACACTACGATGGTATAAAATTTTCGAAATTTCAAAGTAAACTACTATTTTTTCAGTCTGTGGGAAATTTTTGTTTGTGTTTAATTAAAAAGAATTTCCCTCACAAAAGTGGGGGATTTTTATTTTCTAAATTTCGGAAAATTTTAAACCATCCTAATGTGATATGCATCCATTCAAGATACTAATATTAAAATAATTATACATTATTATTGTTGTAAGTTATCAACATTTCTATCTCGTGAGATTTTTGAAAAATTCTCCATGACAATCTCGCCTTCTCAAGGGTCAAAATTCAGAGCACTCGTGATCCTACTTTTATCCTTTTTTGAATTCTAGTTTATGGAGGAGAAAACTGATTTCGATACCCTTAAGGATCATTCCATTATTTTCTGTTTTTTCATTTAAGTAGGCCTTTAGTGAATTAAAAAATTATTTTCAAAGTCTTGGTTTTTGTTTAGGAATATGAATATTTAAAGTTTTCATCTATAGATTTATTTAAATTCAAATTAGAAATTTACAACAATTTTCTTCTAGTGAATAAGAAAAATGAATGGAATGGCCCAAAAGTGAAAATGAAATAGTCAAGCTATCATTGTAGATTTACAATTAGTCAACACGGCTATTAGAGAGTAACAGCTTCACGTAGAATCGAAAAAAAGAAATATATATAATTTACATACAGTGTGTAATTTTTTTTTCATATAATAAAAAATTTCTCACTATTAAAAAGAGAATTAAAAAAAATGTGAATGAATAAGAAAAAAATATCGCCAACAAAAAAATTGTTTGCAAAAAATCAGTCACACGCTTTGATTCGTTCAGCAAAATCATAATATTTAGAACCAAAACTAAAAACTTTTATTTTACAAGATGATATAATATCGATACAAATGTATTATTAAAAAAGTTAAACACTCGCACATTTAAACACAATAAGAATTTAGAAAACATTCCACTACATTTGCATTCATTATTTATCGTCCTTAAATATTAAAGTCATCAAATTGCAATTAAACAAAGAAAATATTAATCAAAATATAACTTTTTTCCGAGTGCTTTGGATTAAAGAAGTTGACAAAAAAAGAAGAAGAAGAAATAATTAATTATTTTTCGTCGAATTTCCTTTTAATAATAATAATAATGCGTAAATGGCGTTTTTTTTCTTTCTTTTCTGAATAATCAAATATAAAAAATTTTTAGTGGAGATTCAAGAAAAAATTCGATAAACTTTGTAACAAATAATGGAGAAAGAGAAAAAAAAATACGCACAAAACGCTTTAGTGAGCTATGTAAAATAGCGGACTAATAATGCAAGGTGTACTGATACTAGCGCAAAGGCATAGTGTTTTAAACATTCTTGTCTTAATTAATTTCTGTTTTATGAAAATTTGAATTTTTTAAACACTATAATTAATATTCCTCCTCATCATCGTGTCCGTGACCCTCTAGCTCTTCGGGTGGTGCAAAACCATCCTAAAAATACGAAAAAATAATTTAGAATTTAGAATTTTATCTACTGTTCTTTCCTTTTTATTTTATTCCTTTTTTTGAATTTTTAGCTTTTACTAATTTATTTTCGTTTCTAAAATAAGAAGAAGATTGCAATGTTTACTATCAAGAGAACTTTTTCAAAATGTCTTTTTTTTACCAAAAAATTATGAACTCTTTTTTTAAATATTTTACTTAACTTTTAATAATTTCTAAATTAACAGTTTCAAACCGAAAAAATAAAGACAACCTTTTTCATTTTTCCAATAAGTTTATCAATTTTCGTAAAATGGTAATTGTGAAACTTGAAAAATTATCATTTTTACAAAGCAAAAAACAAAAATAACTTTTTTCGAAAATTAATTCAAAATTTGTTTAAAAAATCAAACAAAAAGGACGAAAACAAACAAATCATGCTCACTCGACAAAAAAAAACGTAAAAAGCAACATAAAAGCGTAAAACAGAAGCTAAATGTAAAAAATTTAATATATTGTTTAAACAGTCAACACAACATAAATGTTAAATAATGAACAATTGTTAACAATGTTAATTTTCTTGTAAAAATATCGACAGTTTAATTTTTACTAAATTAAAATTTTACCAAAAAAAATTACGTTTTAGTAAAAACATTTCTAAATATAATTTTTAATTCCTTCCTGATAAAGAGTTATTTCCATAACCGATTTATATTTTAAATATTGATAAAATTTTTAAATAATGAAGATAAATTTGAATCGAATAACAATTTCATGAAATCAAATGCTACCAACAAAAACATAAAAAAAAAATTGTTGTCAAATTACCTTTAGTTTTTTTTACATAAAAAGAAAAAAGACAATTGAGTAGTATTTAAAACGTCTGATCTTCGCTCTCCTGTCCAATTCCATCCTCCTGAAAACATTTATTTTTTCGAGAGAATTTTAAAAACGAATTTCTTTCCAACTCAATTGGCTCTTTGAGGAATTATTTTTTTTTATAAAGTTTTATAAATTTTCTATATTTATATTTTTTTTTCAAAATCTATTTGGCAAGGAAAAATTTTTCATATCCAAAAATTTGTTTGAAAGAATCAAGAATGTTTCATTTTTTACTTCAGGGTTGCCACAAAAAATTTGATTTTGGTTTTTTACTAATTTTTAGCATTTTTTCTAATCTCTATGGGGGAAAAAAATTTGAAAGGGAGTTCAATTTTAACAAAAAAGATAATTTTTAGAAGTAAAAATTTAATTTCTAACTTCATGAGCCAAAACTTGTTTACCAGAAACCAAAAATTGGATTAAAATAAGATTGAAAAGTCGAAATATTTTTAATAGAATTCTTGAAAATTTCGATTATTTATAAAATATTCAATTACTTGTTTATAAAAATTCAATAATCTTCGAAAAATAGAACAGAAATATTTTAAAAACTTCATTATTTAGAATTTTATATAAAACTTTTAGAAATTCAATGTTTTGAAAAACATTTAAATTAAAATCTTTTTATAACTAACAATTTTAATTATTTACGAAATTTTGTTTGCTTTTGATTTCTAATTTTTTAGATAATTTTTCTTTTTAAATTTTTTGAATTTTAATATTGTTTGAAATTCAATAACAAAATTATTTTCAATTAAAAATCATTAAAAATTAATCAATTAAATAATTTAATTTGTGAACTTAATTTAACATTACACGACAAAAAAGGTCACTTATAAATTCTTCTTTGAAAATAATTAAATTCTTTCGAAAAGTTTTATTCAAATTAAAATGAAAATAATTAAATTCCAGCAAAGAATTTTATTATTTTTTTATGAAAGTAATTGAAATCTTGAGAAGAATTTTATTAAAATTGAATTGAGAATAATTGAATTCTTTCGAGAAATTTTATTCAAATTAGATTGAAACTAATTAAATTTCAGCAAAGAATTTTATTATTTTTTTTATGAAAGTAATTGAAGTCTTGAGAAGAATTTTATTAAAATTGAATTGAAAATAATTGAATTCTTTCGAGAAATCTTATTCAAATTAGATTTAAAATAATTAAATTCCAGCAAAGAATTATATTATTTTTGTTTAATGAAAATAATAAATTGAAGTCTTGAGAAGAATTTTATTAAAATTTTTAAAATTAATTGAATTCTTTCGAAGAATTTTAATTGTAATAAAGTTTTATCAGAAAACAAATTTTTTCTGAATTTAAATAAAATTATTTAAAATCTAGTTATCTTTTAAATAAATATTTAATGTTTTTGTGGGAAAAAAAATTCAAGAAGAATTCAAAGTTTTTAAGTTTTTCAAAAATATTTTTCAAGAGGCCAAAAAGAGGCCGAAATTTTATAGTAATTCTTAAAATTTGATATTTTTACAATACTTTTGAAAAAATTCCCTAACATTTCCCTGATTTTCTTGTCCACAATTTTTTTTCCTGACTTCCCTGATTTTTCTGGCTAGTGGCAACCCTGTCATTACGCATCAAAAGTAAGAAAACGAGAAAGTAATACAACAAACAAGTTTATTTTCATAATTTTTGATTATTTCAATTTAATTGACTAACCCATAGACTTTTTTATATGGAAATAAATTAATTCCCAATTATTATATAAAAATAAACTTGACTTCGTAGTACTTTCAGAATTTATCTTACTAATTGCGTCTGATCTAAAAATATCAACTAATTGCATAAGCGGCAATATTTATTTATAATATTAATTAAGCAACTTAAACACCTAAAGCATAGATGTGAAATTGCAATATTTAGTTATTGTTTAACTTCACGTAAAGTCTATTACATATGCACATAATAGATTATTTACAAAAGTAAAACAAAATTTGGTCAATTGAAATTTTCCAAAAAAAAGATGAAGAAATGTTCTAATAAAGAAATTGATTTTTTTTTTTGCATTTTTACCTCAGTTGCATAAAGAACGTCGAGAATTTTTCGCACAATTGGAGATGGTTCTTCACTTTCTGGTTCTTGGCACATAAGTTCGATTTCTCTCAGCTTTCCAAAGTAAAAGTCTCTCTCCTTTTCCAGACCATCCACGGTCATTTTCAATTCCATTACCTAAGACAATTCAAGCACACAAAATTAGAATTTTTACTATTTACTACTATTTTAAAAATAAAAAATATTAATATCTCGTCAAATTCGCCAAGAGTTCAAAATTTATAGAAAATACTTTCAATTTAATAGAAAAATAACTTCAAGTCAAATTCAGAGTATAAAAAATGATTCACAAATTTTGAACATTCAATTGAACTTAATACTTTTAAAAATCACTGCAATGAAAATTGCAAAAAATTAAAAACTTAACTTCAACATTTAGAAACTAATAATTTTTTTTCGACATGTTGCTAAATTGTTATAAAATTTCAATTTGAAGAAGAAACAAATTAATTTCGTTCATTCGAACGTTTGGAACTTTAGGAACATAAAAAAATAAAATAAAAAACTATTATTATTAAATATTAAAATAATTGAAAAAGGAAAAATTACCTGTGAACTAAGTTCATCAACTTTCCCCGTATCTCCGCGATTTCCAACCGTTCCAGTCTTTGGTACAGGACGACTTGTTGGTACTTTATTCACTGCAAATTCGTGGAAAAAATAAATTAATAATGATGATAATTATTATTTGGAAAAATTGAATACCAATAATATTCAACTATATTACAAATAAGTATAAAGATGTTACTTTTTTTAGTTTCGACTTGTGACTAGAATGAATTTGATATAAATATTAAATTTTTTTTCTCTTCAAGTTTATGAATTAGATACATTTATTATGCTTCTACTGACGTCAACCACAAAGTAATGCTCTTCAGAGCAATTACCATCATTAATGGAAGACAATTTTCGTATTGATTTAACCACAAAAAAAATAAATAAAAAAAATGTATTCCTTGAATGACAGTAATTGCTCTGAAGAGGACCTGAAACGTCAGCATTTTAATAAATGTATACAATTCATGAACATAAAGGGAAACAAATTTAATACCCATAGCAAATTATATTACAAATTAACAGTAATAGAAAACTATACATATTTACATAAAAGAGAATAAAAAAGAATGTGTGCTCAGTGCAAGAACAGTTAAATTACTAAACTACTAAATTCAATATTTATAAAGTAGAATTGTTTTACACAATCATGCAATACTGAATGATTTTGATTTATATACAGAAAGAAATGGATAAAGAATGAAAATTGAAATCTATTCTAAAAGAATTGAACATTCTCCTAAACCACTGATTAAATTTTCAATTCAGAAAATTGTTTCAAAAAGAAATAATAATTCAAATTTTATGATTATTATTTTACCCACTCGCAAAAGCAGAAAAGGTTCATACGCATTAGAAAAAAAAAGTTATCAGGCTTTTAAGGAACGGAAAGTTTTGAAAAACAACATAAAACAGTTTTTAAAAAAATAAAAATATTAATTACAAGATCGGCCTACGGACTTCATGGTAGGCATATGTATTGGAGACGGTGGTCCCTCACCTATGAGGATAAATTCAATTCTGTGTTAATAAAATTACAAACAAATCAAATACAAAATGGTCCCGTTAAAATTTTCACAGCTCAAACACTTATAAAACAAATGAAAATTTAAATCATTTAAATAATGATGAATCAAATTGAATAAAAATCGTTAAATAATAAAAATTAAATTAAATAAATCATAAAATAATAAAAAAATTAAATTAATTATAAATGATTAAATAATAAATTTTAAAAATCCATAAAATGATAATAAATTAAATAAAACGTCAAATAATAATAAATAAACAGTAATTAAAAAAATCGAATAATTTTTAATACTTTCTCCATGAGCAGACCTCGGATCGACTTGAAGACGCAAAAAAAGTCTTTTAAAAATCCAAAAAAATTCGTAAAAGTCGTTTATTTAATTCAGTGTTGCCAGAAAAATTTTATTTTGTATTTCCCTGACTTTTCACTGATTTCTAAATTCAATTATTCAAAACTTTAATACTTTTGTTAAATAATTATTTAAATACTTATGTGTTTTTCCATGGTAAATAAAATTAAAAAAGTTTCAATTCAAAACCTTCTGAAATTTAATAATTTTTAAAAATTACTAATCTTTACACCTTCAAAAATTCAATTATTTTCTACAATCTCTGAATCAATTATTTTTAATAATTTTTCGATAGTTCTTTGAGAATTCAATTATTTAAATACAAAAATTCAATTTTAATAATAATCGTAACTATGTCCATATTTTTTTTGAAAGTTATATTTTAATAAAATTATGATAAAGAAATTCTTAAAATTATTAATTTTTTTAAAAATATTTTTAAATCATTTTTGAAAGATAATAATTTTTCAATTACATACAATTGAAAATTTTTTAAACAATTGAAATTTGGTGACATCTTTTCAAAAGAATTAAAATTTAGTAAGATCTTTTAAAAATAATTGAATTTTTGAAGAATTTCAATTATAAATATGAACATGATTTCTCCAAATTTTAAAAACTCTAAACAAAATTATGATTATTTTTAAAAATATTGTGACGTTATTTTTCGAAAATAATTGATGTTTTTAAAAGAATTTTTGTAACGTTTAAAAAAATCAAATTAATTCTTTTGAAAAATTTTAATTAAAAATTTTGAACATGATTATTTTCTCCAAAATGTTAAAAATAATTCTAAAAAATTTTAACTGCTATTTTTTTATGTATTTGAATTTTCGAAACTATGTAATTGAAAATATTGAAAATAATTGAATTTTAAAAAAATTGTAAAGAAAAAAATTCTAATAATTTCTTTTTACAAAAATAGTTCAATATCATTTTTGAGAAACTAAAATTCATTCATTTTCATTTTTTAAATTAACTCTTGAAAATTTTTCATTAAAATTTTTGAGAATTCAATTAATTTCAAAATTTGCAAATGAAATTCTTCAAAATTTGATTGTAAAAAATTGTAATAAAATACTTGAAAAAAGATCAATTATTTTCAATTAAATTTTACAAAATTTCAATTATTAAAAATCTTTGTATTTGTATATTTTGAGAAATTAATTAGAAAAAAAAGTACCTATTGAAAAATTATTTTTGAAAGATTTGTCTAGTTTTTTTCACACTATAAAAATTTGAAATAAGTTGCATTTTATACTAAAAATGTGGTATTTTCTTTCAATATTTAGAAGAAAAGTCAAAAAGTAGCAATTTTTGAAAATAATTCGAAAAAATTCGCATTTTTTGAAAATAATCGAAATAAAATTTGAAAAGGTCATAATATCCGAGGCCTGCAGGAGGAGAAATTGAAAATAATTAAGTAAACTTAATTAAATTTAATTCTTAATTAATTAAATTAAGAAAAATAAATTAAGTAAAAAAGTGGAAAATTAATTTATAAAGGAATAAAATTGGAATAAAATTAAATTTAATTTAAAAAATAATAAAATAAAAAAAATTGAGCAAACGAATAAAAAATAGACAAACAATGATTAAACAATAAAAATGGAATAAAATGAAATGAAATGAAATACAAAAAAAAAATAAAATAAAATATATGAAAATAATGAAGCAAACGAATAAAAAATTAAAACATGAATAAAAGAATAAAAATGAAATAAAATGAAATGATAGTAATAATAAAAATAAAATAAAACAGAATCTAAATTTTAGTATTGTCTCAAAAAGTCTCAAAATCTATGCAAAGTTAATAATCAAGTAAACTAAAAAAATCAAGTAAAAATGTTAATTAAAAACGTGTGTTAAATGCGCGAAGTTGTTAGACAACCCAGTAGAGCGTTTCTTTTCTTTTTTTTCTGTAATATAAAAAGGATTGAGGATTTATAAGGGATGTACCAGTTCGAGAGGCAGGTTTGGCTGTTATTTCACGAGGAGTTCGTTTCACCATTCCAGAACCACGTGGTGCATTATGACCACCGCTACCCATGGCTTCTCCTCCTCTCATTGCAAGTGCATCATAGGATTCTGATCCCGCATTATTTGCGTCAAAAAACTTCTTAAACCACTGCAAAAACTCAAAGTTGTCTTGGAATCGCCCTTTCACCAGCTTATCGATCGCTACAATCTGCAAATTATAGGTGAGAAGCACATACAGGAGAAAATAATTTTAAATAGAAAATAATTCAATTGCAAAATGATAAAAGAAAATTTTGATTAATGTATAACATAATTTGTAATAATTAGAAAATTTTCTTATTGAAAATAATTCGCCTATAATAAAAATACTTGGAGAGGGTTTAAGAATGAAGATGAGTAAATATCGTTCGATGGTCGAAATTGCGCTATTCTAGAAATTAAAAAAGAAAAAGTTTTCAAAAATTTAATAAACATAATTTTTGAAGAGAATATTACTTCTTTTTGAGATGTCACAAGCATTCAAATGTTTTTCACCAGGGTGCGTCAAGAATGTAGATGTTTGATTTCAAATAATAGAAATTAATATTTCAAATTCAAAATTATGAATTCGAAATTAATTATTATAATTTTGTTTTTGAAATAAATTTCCCAATAAATTGAATACAAAATTGAAAATTAATGATATGAACTATTTAACTTTCTAGCTGTGATGTGAATTTTCTAAAAAAACTTTTTTTTTGAAGATCCTAAAGTTCTGAACGTTCAAATGAACGAAATTTATTTATTTCTTCTACAAACTAAATTTTTATTGCAATTATTTTGCGTCACTATCCAAAAATTAATAACTGAGTTTCTAACCGTAAATATTTCAGTTTTTAAATTTTTTGTGATTAGTAATTTATAAAAATATCTTCAATAAAAAATCTTTCGTTCATTTGAACGTTCAAAACTTGGGAATCATTTTTTTTGCAATAAGCAACTAGTTTTGCAGGTAATCTAATCACAACTAATTTAACTAGTTTCATTGAAGATTACACTTTGAAACAAGAAAATATTTTTTTACCATAAGGCAATTATTTTGGAAATTTCTTTTCAAACTTTGAACAAATTTTTATTTATGATAAAATTTTATTCACTTTCCTTTTTTTTATGTCTCTAAAGTTTTAAACGTTCAAATCAAGGAAATTTCTTTTTCAAATTCAAATTTTCCTGTAATAATAAAAGACCATGTATTAAAAATAATTTGTTTCTAAATGTTTAATTTGCTTCTGCTTTTTGTTTTTAGTTTTTGAAATTTGCCTGGAAAAATATTTTTTCAAATCAAATTTTACCAAAATATTTTTACATTATTCTCTTTTAGAGAAAAAAAAAATTCAGAGAAGTAAAAAAATGTCATGCAATTGAACGTTCAAAACTTGAGGAACTTGAGGAACCAATGAACTTTTTTTCAGATTCTCGTGTAATCTTCCAAAAACGATAAATAACGAACTAGTGCAAAATCTGTACAAATCAGAATAAACTATTGTTTGCATATTTTTGGAAAAAATCGTGTAAACAAATATCTACAAGTGAATATAAAACAATTGCATTTTCTTTGTACAATAAATAGTGAAACTAAATATTATCATGCAACAATGATATCAATTTTTCTTTGAGTTTTTTATTAAAAAAAAAGTACCCTGATGATGCATTGTAACCCTGCTTTTTGGTAGCATTTGAGTTGGTTTCGGCTGTGTTGGTAGAGGAACCAACTGAGGATTTGAAAGATTATGATTTCCACCCATAAATGAACCCAATTGAATGTAACCGCGAGCACCCAACGCGTCGTACTCTCGGCCATCATAATTTGCATCAAAAAACTTCTTAAACCATTGAAGAAATTCAAAGTTGTCTTGAAATCGACCTTTTATCAGTTTGTCCACAGGTATCACCTTAAATTAGTTTTTTTTTTTTGAGGTGTACTCAAATATTAAAATTAACTTTTGAGATTAATTAAAACAAAAAATTATTCAAAAAAAAGGAAAAAAAGAAAAATTTGGAATCATTAAATCAGTGTGTTCAGCGACCTTGAAAACCTGAAATTTACCATTAATTTTTATTTCCAACCTCGAACACATGGAAATTAACTCAAATTATCAAAGGAGCCTTGAATTTTATTTATCTTGAATCTTTTTTTTTCTATTTATAAATGCATTTTCACTGGGATAAGATTTCAAAATTGATAATGGGGTAAAAATTCGAATTTTTGGAACCAATGTAAATTAATTTTTATCTATAAATATTAATTTTATTTAAGATTTTAAGAATTAAAATATTTTACTTAAAATTATATTTCATGTTCATTATTTTCAAATATTTCAGGCTTCGCACTCGACAATTAATTTTAAAAATGTAGCAAAAAAGTAACTGCCAAAAAATTAAATTTGAAAACTAAAAACACTCCTTTTAGTCGATTCACAAAAATTTGATTTTGTATTTCCCTGACTTTTTTTTCTGATTTCCATAAAAAATATTCATTTTTCTTCTTCTGGTAATAACTTAAATTCAAATTTTTCTAAAATTCAATTATTTTCTAAATATTTACTTCGAATACTTCAAAAATACGTTTTTATTTAAATATAATACTTAAAAGTAAAAATACAAAATTCTTTAAAGTATCAAATTTATTTCAATTAAATTTGACAAAATTTCCTGTTAATTGAAAATTTAATTCAAAATTTTTAAATTATTTACGAGAATTTAACTATGTCACAATTCTTCAAAAGATAATTTTTATCATAGTTTCTAAATTAAATTATTCAAAAGTTGAATAATTTTTTAAAAATAAATATTTAAATATTTATTTCACCACAGAAATTAAAATCGTAAATAGTTTCAATGTAAAACAATTTAGAAAAACTATTGTTAAAAAAATACATTTGTTATTCTTCCAAAATTCAATTATTTTTGTTTTCAATTTTTAAATAAAATTATTCAATAATTTAATAATTTTTTAGGAAAATAAATTAATTTAAAATAAATATTTAAATAGTATTAGTATTTAACAAATAAAAATTTTCAAAGATATTAATTTAAAAATCTTTTGAATTTTAATTATTTCTAAAAAAAATAATTTTTAAATTAACTTTTATTACAAACTTCTATGAGAATTCAATTATTTAAATACAACAATAAATGATTGACAGAATATGTAGTTGATTATTTCTTGAAATGGAATTTTTATAACAAAATTTATCAAAATTTTTTAAAAAAATGGAATTCTTTTGATGAAATATTTATCAACATTTTTGAAAATAATTATTTTCTTTCAAAGAATGTTGTAATAATATTTAAAATTATTATTAAAAAAAATAAAATTAGGTATAATAAAATTATAATATTTTAAATACTTGAATTCTTTCGACAGTTTTTTAAAATTCTGTTTTAAAAAATTGAATTCCTGTGAAAATTTTATTATGTATGAAAATAATTATAAATTCTTGCGAAGAATTCTTTTACTTTTGAAAACAATTAAATTCTTTCGAAGAATTTTATTAAAAATCTATTGAATTGTTTCTATAAATTTAATTAGAATTTTCTAAAATAATTTTTTTACCTCATTAGCGAATTTAAAGTGGAGCAAATTTTCACGAGAAAAAAAAGAAAAAAGTTGCTTTTAGTGTCACAAATTTAAAAAAAATATATGCAAATAGTAGCAAATCGTAAAATAAAGTATAGTAAATAGTAGGTTTTAGTAGATATGTGCGAAGCCTAATTTTATTTTCAACCCCTTTTCACATGAGAATTTATTTTTAGTAAAGTAAATTTATAAAAATTTTCTCCGGAAGATAAATTCTTTTCTTTTTCTGGAAACTACGCAGAGGACGCTCAAATAATTATAATATTCTATAAAAATTAAAACTCTCCAAACATTTGTCATTAAGAGGGTTTGTTGTGTGAATGAATATTGTTTGTAAATAAAAGACATACCTTATCTACATTCATCTTTTTAAAGCCACCTTGGAGTATTTTAAAATTCTGTATGTATTCGTGTTCTAAATTGGTTCTGTATTTAACTCGTTTGAGTGGAACGCTTCCAGGGAAAAGCATGTCCATAAATTGGCAATACGCTGCGCCGGTACAGAGTTCCTCGATTTTGGTAAATGATGACTGAAGGCAATCATTGACCCATGCTAGCATATCATGTCGACTGAGATTCTCCGTCGTCACATTCGTCGCATAAACGTTTACAGCCATCCTGGACTTCTTTATTTAATAATTATCAGTCACTTTAAGAAAACACAAAGCACACAATATATTATTTCATGTCAATATAATCAAATTTATAAACGAGGAATGGAAAAATCTCCCAAAATCGAGAATCACTTTCTAACCTCAATAAAATGTGAATGCAATGGAAGAAAAATTCAATGAAATAACGGAAAATTGAATAAATATCCAACACCAAAAAAACGTGGTAGAAAATGTATTTACCTTTTAAGTACACGGCAATTGTGAGAAAATGATCTTTTTAAAAAGTCACTTTGTCAGAGGTTTGGTTAATGATCAATTTCTTTCATAATAATTGAATGATTATATTAGAAGTGAGTTTCGAAATGAGATTTATCGTTGAAAAATAAGTAAAATGCGACGATAAATAGATGAAAAACTTACCAATTTTTGCAAAAATGCCGCTCACAACCACGGGAGTGGTTTCCGCACGTAAAATGACAAATGTGCCCTAGGTCGTTTAAAAAGCGTATACAACGGAAATTTCTAACGGTTTCTAAATATTTGATTGGTTAGAAAAGATCATTGGATGAGAAATAATTATTTATTTCAATGATTGAAAACTACTCGGTTTTAAATTTACAACTATGTTTAGCTTACGCGAACAGTAAAAACTTGTTGAACGTGAATAATCAATTTTTTCCCGAATTTCTCAAACATGTGAAGAACGACGAAAAGTAGCCATCTTTAGTTAATTTCTCCTATATTTAAAATGTTCGGTTGACGTGATTGGTCAATTGACACTTGTATGTCCGGTAGTGTCGACTTGTCCACCAATCACGAAACTAGGAATATTACTATTCTAATTAATTTTCAAACTATTTTTATATTATTTAATTTTCTGTTTTCTAGAAATTAATAATTTATTTAGTTATAGTTTGTTTTTTATAAACTGACTTTTATGAAAATATTTACGTCACGTAACAAAGGTTCGTTTTAATTCGTCGCTTTGTTTCGATTTCAAACTTCCCGCCAAGCGTAAGTTTCTCACACTTACCGCGCATTCTGGACATTTTATGTAAATGCGCCTTGAAACTGTCAGATCTCAAATGTAATTTGTTGTTAATTGTGTTAATTTAATTTCAATTCCCCTAAAATAATAAATAAAAAACAGTTTTAATACGAGAATATAAATAAAAAGTTTCGGCGATAAGAATAATTCTGCGTGGAATAGTAAATACAGATGGAATTTTTTTGAGGTTAGGAATCCCTTATCTAACAATAGATATTTTTCCCCGCGGTAAAAGTTTGCAAATATATTGTGAATTGTATCGAAAAATTTAATTATTCCCCCCCGGAGAAAATTTTTTTTTATATAAAAAAAACATTGTTCTGGGGGTGTCGAAAATTGGCGGAGAATACCGAATGCGGTCGATGAAACGCGAAAGGTCAGGGAACAATATGGCTGATGTGCAAAGTTTTTGCTGTCCGTGTAAGGAATTCGCGTCGTTTTGACGGTTGAAATAGTGATAGACCTGTCAGGTGGTGAGTGTTAAAGGATATCAAATAGTGTTGTGAGAGGTCGAAGAGGCGCGTTTAATTACGCGATTCGTTCGGGCGGCCCGATGCGGGTCGCAAGAGTTTCGCCGAGTGCAAATGATGACTTCGATGCTGTCCAGCTTTAATCCGCCTATTGTGAAGCGGCTGCTGGGCTGGAAGAAAGCCGAGGGCGAGGACAAATGGAGCGAGAAGGCCGTTAAGAGCCTCGTGAAGAAGCTCAAAAAGTCAGCTGGTCTCGAGGAACTCGAGAAGGCTATCACCACACAAAGTTGCAACACCAAGTGCATCACTATACCAAGGTAACAAATCTCTCTCAAGTGCATATGTTCATTCGCATGCCGTATATTTACACAAGGTGTGAACAAATCAGTTCTTTTGGGCTAAAGTCAATTTTTATTTTTATTCTTTCTTTTTAATTGTGTTAAATTGTTTTGTTGACAATTTTCTATAGAATTTTGTATTTCGAGTACTACATATATTATGCAGTATTCTGAATAATCACTTCTTTTGAATAATAGAAAAATAGTTTCACTGTACTCTTCACGTCATTCTGCAAACACATCAACATAAATACGCAATCGAGTTTACATATAAGTTTGTATTCTGATTCATGAAATTCTTGCTTTTTTGGTTCTAAATACTTTAGCTGATGTTTTTTTTTAGTAAAAAATTTAACTTGAATTTTGTTAATTTCTAATGCTTGAATTTTCTGATTATTGAATTATTCGTTTGTTTGGAAAAAAATAACGATTCAGATTAAGTTGTACTGTTAAAGTGTTTAATGTTTATGTTTAACTTGTTTATTATTAAAAGTGTTTAAATATTTAATTAATGTTTTAATCTACTTTTTAATAAAAAAAAAACTTTTATCACAATTTTGTGACATAGGCTAAAAATTAACCTTTTTAATCCTTTATAGATTTTGTTTTGATTTTGTAGTGAAGATTATTTTTTTTTTGTAACCATCAAAATATATCTGCTTCTTAATGCAGATATTTTGTAGTGATTATGTAATATTAAGTTTATCAGAATAACTTTTTTTCTTACATTAGATTATTTCAATTTAACATTGAATTTAATTTCCACATATATTTACTTGCTACACATTTAAAATTACATCGTCAACAAAACCACATGGTTATTTGTCAATAATTTCTTCATTTTCGAAACTAAAATTTCTTCTACTTTTTAAAGTATTTAATTGGAGCATTAATTTTCGGCTCCAAAGAGGATTATTAGTGTCCCCTGCTTAATATCAAGTCACTTAGTTCTCAATTAATTGAAGACAGTTAAAAGTTGGCCCGAAATGTCTTCATTGAGTAAGATATACTCAAAAGTAGCTTTTTGGATTTTTTTTCGAACTCTTTGAAAATTGAACTTAAATATAATTATTTTTTTTGTGGAAGATTTATTTAATTTAAACGATTTATTTACTTGAACGATTTTCAAAATTACTTGACAATGAATAATTTAGTTTTATTTAGATATATGAGTGAGAAGAATAAAGCGCGGTAAATTCCGGAACGTGAAAAAGAAAGGGAAAAGGTTTTGGATTTCATTTGTATGAACCAGAGAGTAGGTAAATTTAACATCGCGATATAACTTAGGTATGCACCATGCAAAGCGCGTTGAACTCTCATTAACGCTCTATGGGATCCTATATTCTGCATAATGTACATATCCGGTACAGAAGTTTGCTCCGCGAATATTTACGAGAACATTTATTTTTCATATATATTCTCTTTGATCGCGCATATTTTATATATATGTATTTTATTATCAAAAAGAAAAAGTTGTTCATCTTTGGGATTTTTTTTCCTCTGATGTACATACTTAAATTTTGTAATATCTTTGGCGAAAGTTTTTTCATATTTTGCCTCTCGATTATTAAAAGGAATATATATTGGTAAATTGAATGCTTTTCTTGTATATTAAGATGCGACGGGTGTTTATCTTTTATAAAAAGATTGCCTCTAAATGTGTCTGCAAATCAATCGACCTCGTACATTACAATTGTTTAGTCTATACAAACAGTTTCCTCAATTATCTTTATCCCTCACGAAGTACAGTTTTTTCGCAATTTTCTCTTTTTATTCCCAAAAAAAAGAAGAAAAAAACGTTTTTCGATAAATTCCATCACTTTTTTCTAGTGTTGATATTTTTATTTTAGTTTTTTTTGTTGATATTTTTGTTATTCTCTCGATATTTTTTTTTTATTTTTTTGATATATTTTTAATGAATTATCTTCTATTTAGTAGTAATTATATTTTGTGGAATTAGTTTTTATTTTATATTCTTCTAAAATTATAAAACATGGACATTCGATATATATATAGAGAGAGAGAGAGAGAAATTGCCACTGCTCTATTTTTACCGTAACGATATTTTCATGATTTGCTATGATTGATAGAAATTATTTAGTTTGATATTAGAAACACGTGCATAAAATGTGCTAAATTTTCAAACAAGTTCCTGAATTTTTTAACGTTCAACTAAACGAAGATTATTTATTTCTGCAAATTTAAATTTTATTACAATAATATTGCGTCACGTGACAAAAAAGTAATTTAAAAGGTTAAAAATTAATTTTAAAGGGTTATTTAAAATTTTATAAAATGTAAATTTTCAATGAATTTAATTAGAAATTTTAAAGAACTTAGATTTTTGAAAAATTTTAATAATTCAAAATTTGAAATTAGATAAATTTTTAATATAGTAGGTATATTTAATTAATTATTAAAAATAATGGATTTATAGAAGAATTTTAGTTAAAAACGCTTTTAAAATCTTTGAATTTTGGAGAAGTTACAAATGATTGCAGAAATTCAATTATTTCCAAAGGTAATAAAATTCTTCGCAAAAATTCAATTATGTTCATAAAATTAAATAAAACTCTCGTTAAAATTTCAATTATCTTCATAAATAAAAACATTCTTCTTTGAAATTCAATTATTTTTAGAAATTTTAATAAACTTCTTGTCAAAATTTTAATTATTTACAAATTTTTTTTATTAATTTCTTCTCAATAATACAATTATTTTCCTAAATAATAAAATATTCTTGTCAAAATTTTAATTATTTTCCTAAATAATAAAATTCTTTTTAGAAATTTAATTATTTACGAATTTTTTTATAAATTTCTTCCCAATAATTTAATTATTTTCATAAACTTATCACAAAAATTCAATTATGTTCAGAAAATTAAAAAAAATTCTCGTTAAAATTTAAATCATCTTTATATATAAATATAATAAAATTCTTCTCCGAAATTCAGTTATTTTCAAAACTTTTAATAAAATTTAATATCCAAATTTTAATTATTTAAAAAAAATTTGCCTCAATTCAAACATTTAATTATTTTTATAGATAATAAAAATTTCACATGAATTGAATTATTTTCAATTATTTTCGTAAAAAATAAAATTATTTTTAAGAATTCAATTATTTTCATAAATAATAAAACTCATCGCAAATTTTCAATTATTTTTAAAACAATTTCAATTGAATTCCTCGAAAAATACAATTGATCTTAAAAAATTGTATTACAATATCATAAAATTAATTCAATTCTTTAAAAATTTGTTGATAAATTTCTTTATGAAAATTCACTTTTAAGAAATATTCAATTATTCAATAAATTATTTATTTTTGTATTTAAATAATTGAATTCTCGTAAAATTTTCTAATAAAAATTGATTAAAATCGATTTAAAAATGAATTTTAGTTAAAATTTTAGATAATAATTGACTATTAAAAGCAAAGCAAGAATTTCTGGAAATAATATTGAATTTTTTGTACTTTTAACTAACAATTCTGTAAAATTAATTTTTTTAAAAGAGTTTAATTGAATTTTTTTAAAATTCTTTGAATGTTATGTTTTTTGAAAATAATTTATTATATGTGAATTAAAATTACATAATTGAATTACAATTATGAATTGAAATTACATGATTGATTTACAATTATGAATTGAAAATACATAATTAAATTACAATTATGAATTGAAAGTACATAATTGAATTACAATTATGAATTGAAATTACATGATTGATTTACAATTATGAATTGAAAATACATAATTGAATTGCAATTATTATGAATTAAAATTGCAGAATTGTATTACAATTATGAATTGAAATTACATAATTGAATTATTATGAATTGGTAATACATAATTGAATTACAATTATTATGAATTAAAATTGTAGAATTCTATTACAATTATGAATTGAAAATACATATAATTGAATTACAATTATGAATTGAAAATTCATAATTGAATTACAGTTATGAACTGAAATTACATAATTGAATTACAATTATGAATTGGAAATATATAATTGAATTACAATTATTATACGAATTAAAATTACAGAATTGAATAACAATTATGAATTGAAGTTACATAATTGAATTACAATTATGAATTGAAATTACATAATTACATTTGAATTAATTGAAATTGAATATAATTAAATTACAATTATGAATTGAAATTGCATAATTATAATTAAATTAGAATTATGAATTGAAATTACATAATTAAATTACAATTATGAATAAGCAAAAAAAATTTTTCTCCGTTAATTTTTCTCTGAATTTAAAAACTATGTGTTTGCCTTTTGTATATATATAGCGTTTCATGGAGCATATTTATATTTACACCGCATTGAAATGCGCTGGTTTACTAGAAACTTGTTTGTTAGTTTTGGCGAACAGTGGCATTTGACCTACCCCAATGAAAGTTTTGAGAATATAAAGGGTTGGCATGTTGGTATTAGAGGAACAAGAAGGGGCAGCGAACTTATGTGTCGGTGGACGACCGGGCGGAGTTGTCCCTTTATTCAACGAAAATCACGTGCGCGCATGTTTGTGCCTATCACGTCATACAAAGTAAATTGTATTACTTGCTAGGTGCATATACATGCACAAAGGCATATATCGAGATTCATATCAGTGGGCATATAGCTCGCACTCGGCCTGACATGCCGCAACAAACATGGCTCTATATATTCTAGATGAGAATCGATTGTACCTCTTGTACACACCTCATAATTATAATAAATATTCTATATTTTATAATTAGCCTTTTTTGCATTTTTTACATTTTTTTTTTGTCGGCTTCGTAATGTTTATTTACCGGGCGATTATTATTAACAATCTGTGGATACTTATTGTAGATATAATCTGTCATTTTCTGCTATTTTTATCCCTTTTTTCTCTTTTTACGCTTAGTAACATTTTATACTAAAAAAATGTTTAACTATAAAGTTTTCTCTATGAAAAATTTATTTCCTTT